CCTCCCCAAGCCTAATGGCTCCGCCGCCTATGAATGGAAGAATCAATATCAACGGCATATACATATGTCCCATTGGAGAATATATTAACGCACGTCGTACATTTTTTGTCACTACCGCCAGTATACCGCGGTACTCATAATAACCGGCGTTAGCGCTTATAAGCTCCGATCCCAGCTAAGAAGGCTTCCAAAAACCGTTTTTTTGTCAAATCTCGATTTATTTTGGACAAAGAATTCAAACTAATCGAAAAAAAAAACTATTTTAGAATGGATTTTTCGAATTATTATTTTTACAGCGACATCTTCAATAAAATATTTATCTCATAAATGAGACTGATTTGCGATATGTGGCTACTACAGATGGCTCAGGTACAACGACGTTATCGGAGTGCCTCGAATTCATCACGACTCTGCCAGTTTTAACAGGTTTAAAAAATTTTCAGTCGTTCCTATACTATAGAAAAGGATGCATCACTTTCATGAAAAACCAGCGGTATACCGCCGTTTTTTCTCCGGTTTGAATCACATGGGAATAGCCAGTCAGATGAGTTGATCAGAAAAATATCGCTGGCTCACAGCAGTAGGTTGAGATGATTTAAATATACTTTTTGCGATGGCAGAAGTGAATCAAATATGTAAACGAAAGCCAATAGACTTACTTCATGTAGAAGTTACAAGTCTATTCAATGAAAAATCGATGTTTTATACCACTTCAAATGGTTCTCTTCTCTTTGAAGTTTTTCCATTTTAATGGCTGATCGACAAAATATTCAGATAAAAAGAATCTTATTAATGCATACCGAAAGAGAGAAAACCGAAAACAGATTACAGTTTAGGTCATAAATAAAGCAAAGTATAATCCTGCGAATTTAAAGAAATGAGGGATGTCAAATTATGGGAAATCACATAGTATCATTCATCTTGTCGTCAAGCTAGCTGTCTGTCTCCATGTTCAAGCTCAAGCTATTTGACACTGTTATTCACACTTTTTCTATAGACTAATTTTGTTACCTGTTTATTCCGCTCTTTTTGTAGAACAACAATTATAAAGAAAATGAGATTTAGGAGGTCATATGATAAGCAATCTGATGTCATTGACCTATTTCGTTAAAACCGTATCGTTGTTTGATGAATCTCGATTTTGTTGTGAAAATTGAGAAAATATCATCAGCTTTGACGATATATCGCGATAAAATCGACGATTTTGATGACATGGGTGTTGTACAGCTTCCATGTATTGAGATGTGCTATATCTTCTCATACGATAAATTTGAGAGAAACTCGGTTCAGCTCAGTCCTTGAATGATTCAGTATTGCATAGATGATTCATACTTGTGGTAGATCATTTGATTAATAATACCTGCATGATACATACGATACTTCAGTAACATCGAAATATCTAGTTTTTCTGGTAGCTTTTAGTTAAGCTAGCCTTCATACTGCTAGATACATGGAGCTAACTTCTACAGATTTCTACTACCATCCAACAAGACAATATCATCGTAGGATACAAATGAATGAAATTAAATCGTTTTGAATTCTCTATGTTCAACTACAACATAAGATTCTCGAAATGTCGTGTAATTTATTTTCAATTCACTTTCATTCTACTTCAATTTCTACTAATATTCAAATACGCGTTTACTTTATTTTTTCTTTAGCAAGCTTAAAATGTTCATAATATGTTTGAATAGTTTCACGATCAGATGGTAATGATTTTAATCCAATATCCAGTGCAGTTTCAAAATTTTTCTAATGCTATTTTATAATCACCTTTACAAAGATAAATGCCGCCTATATTATGATATGTTGCAGCAATTCTGAAATGAGTTGATGGTAGAACTCTCAATTGAATTTCAAGTGTGCGTTGCAGCATATATAATGCCTCATCAAATTTTTCATCATCTTCATATATTCCACTCATATCTGTATATAATGTCGCACATTATAAAACACTTGGTAGGGTAGAATTATTTTGACAAATTTTCGAAGCTTTTCTTAAATATTTCAATGCTTTTTCATTATAACTGTTTTCATGATACAATGGACCGATATTATGATATAAATTGCCAAATAGAAGATCGTTTTCTGATACGTTTTGCATTTTATAGCTTTCATATGATTTTTTTATAATATTCTAATGCTTTTTCATCATTATGCATTTCATAATATAATATTCACATATTATTTAATATTATTGGAACTCCACAATGATCTATTGGCAACTTATCGAGCATCATTTGATAATATTTTTCTGCCTTTTCATAATCTCCCATTTGTGCCAATAGTACACCTAATGTACTGATATTCGATATACTTGTAGTTGAATTCGTTTTGAAATAATTGAATAAAATCTCTATTTCATTATCCACCACTGATTCAGTTAATATTGGATTAACTTGCCAAACAATACCATTTTCAACTAATTGTTCAACTGACTCAATCTTGAATATAATTCCCATCGATAATAGTATTTCTTTCTCTTCTTCACCTAAAATACTCATATTTGTTATATCAACGAATGGTTTTGTTTTAGTAGCCACATTTTTATTAATCGTAATTTGAAATAATACGGATTCTAACAATGGCCTATGAGAACCATCACCGGCGAATACTAAAGCTACGCTTCTTTTTCGACTTGTTGATACAAATGTATTCATTGAAATAAGACCGTTAACGTTACGTTACGTTTTATTTTTTCCAATTCGTCACAACTGATATGTTGTCCACGGTAGACAATCAGTGTTTCTTCTAATAATGAGATATATCCGTTATGTAAGTCACGCAATAGAACATAAAGATCTGTAATGAAAAAACGATATTTAAAAATGATGTCAATATTTTGTGTACGTAGTGCTTTGTTTAATTGCTTGTATACGAAGCTATCACGTGTGTACCACCAAACAGCGAATTCTGCTTCATAGGTTTTTTCAAAATCGTCAATCATGTCTAACTGCTTTTGATTTCCATCATGACGAATATTCAAAAATGTCGTTACCCTATCGATTGCTGCCATGCTATTGCCTCTTACTTTACAGACATTCTAACTAAATCAGGTAAGACTTGCGTGCCATTCATTCTGGTTCTCGTGCATACCAGAACAGATCGTTTTCCGTCTTTCAAAAGAAATGGGGATGCTGGAAAATATACACATAATAATGACTGTCTTGGAGAGGAGAGATAGAGTTAGCAACGTCATAAACAGAAAAAACCTATTATAAGAGTCCAAACTGTTCTCTACAGCTAAGATGAATAAAATTCCAGTAAATAATTCATATTCTATTTGATCTCTCATAAACTATCAGGATTTAGCTGAGCGACATTCGCTGAATCAAAGTGTTTTTACGCCTGATAGGAACATATTTTTTTCCCACGATGATAGGTGAAGCATTGTTGTCAGGAAGCAGTCGAATGCTTTGAGGGTGAAACAATCACAAGCATTCTACGAAATAAAAATAAGATTATAGTATTTTATTTGGAAATCAAACACAGCTTAAATGCCATAAAAAAATGATTCGACTCACAGGTTATTAATTATAGTTGAAACGTCATCTCAAAACTATTTCCTTCTTCATTTTATTTGATAGGCACATAAGAAAGGGCTTCCTCGAAGAACTATCGGCTTCTATAAATGCTTTACTCGAGTCAAATTCATTGCTCTATCAAAATAAAATTATGCTTAGTGAATGTCGTAGTTTTCGTACAGTTATATAAAACAGCCGACAATCGTTTAACATCATCATTTTCTCATCATCTGTTTTAGGTATTTGAATTAAAACATCTATAAGCAATTGAATCCACATAAACATAGAATATTCCTTGTTTAAAGCACGAATTGATTTTTCATTGATTATACATAGTGGTGTCAAACTTTTCAACTGTGATTTCATGTCTTGCTTTAGTTTTGTAATAAGTTGATTTTTATTGGAGAATATACCATGAAGTTTTGAAATATCTTTTAGTTGACAAGAGCCATTTGAGTTATCATTCGAATATAGAACGTAAATAAATACAATCTGCTTCATTTAAAAATCAGTGGAATAGACGTTTCACAGATTGAACCCGAAACAATTAGAAAAACATTTTCATTTGCCGCTATACCATCAATGCACTCCTTTGTATCATTATATATTTCTATATAATTATTACATTGTCGCAAACGATTTTTCGTATCGAAATAATCATCTCTGCTTTCATGAATTCGATCAACGTCAAGCCATACAATAATTTGATCTTCGAGATTTTTCGTTAGTGAAGTCATCAGCTACTAAAATGAATCTTGCGAGTTTTCTGTCAGATTATTTATTTAATAAATATTTAATTTTGCGCAAAAAACGTTTCTCTTATCTGTGTTTACTCATATTCTCATCAAACAAGACACAATTAAAAATAACATTTTATAACATGCAACTTAACGTAGATAAACTAGTTTGAAAATAAAATATTGTCTCTCGAATGGTGGATGTATATTCATTGAAAATAGATTGACTTGTATTCCTTTGATACTAATCAATCTGCTGGTTTCACATCTTGTTTTTCCACGATTGACCTATTCGACAATAAAATAGCAACAAAATCATAGATTAAATATAATGCAAATGAAATACCTAAATAATTTCACCGGCGATTTTGATATTATTTATTAATATGTGGAAATACTCATCTAGATTGTAAGTTCAAAGTACAGTTATAGAAATAATTTTCAACGAACGATCAGTAAAATGAGCATATTTGAAAAGATAAGACAATAGATAGACACTTAGATAACGACGATAAAATGTAGAAAAAAAGAGAAAAGAGAGCAGTTGACCTTGTGCTTTGAGTGCTAATTTAACAATATAATATCAGGGTGTGGCTTCATTTATAGAAAAGTTTCACCCACACTCTCAAGAGATGTTCATAGTAAACTTAAATCGAGCTTGCATCAGCCCTTCTGAAAAAATTCACACGCATTGAATATTTTTATTTTTCCTCAGTCTTGAAACATTTAAATTAATCTACTAAAATAGTTCGTCGGCTCTTATCTTGAAAGGTGTCATTCATGTAGGATGACGAAAGTTATCAACGTTATATTACGGTGTCTGGAGAACATATTTGCCATCGTTTTGAGTTACTTGAAATTTTGACTATTTTAATTAACAGTTCCAGTCCTTGATACATAAAAAATGATTTTTTAAATGAAAATTATTTATCGTCATTGTTCTGATAGTCCATATATGTTCAAGTTAAGATACAAATCGAACTTGTATATTTTGGAAATGATCCAAGTCTCGATAAAATAGCCTTTTGCGAAGAAAATAAATATTTAGCATCATTCAATATATTGCAAACCGTACAGAGAGGCTACATCGAGCAATTGCCGAAAAGCTTTGTCACAGTAAAATTAAAATATTCAAGCAACTTCTCATATCTCAGATGTTCTTTATCATGTCAATTGTTGATTCAGGTGTCTTATCTTTTAGTATCTTTCACAAAAAGAGAAAAAAAACATCGGATTCAAACTATAAAAAGAGAAGATCTTGCTAATAGCTTTACATACGTATGACATGACATTTTGCATACGTATTTTTCGTAATCGGTGTTTTATTTAAGGATGACTTTACCTTGCTGATAAAAGTAAATGGTTTGTTTAACGTAAGCGAGCACTATAGCATGTAACAGACTTTTCTCCGGTAGATCGTTGATACCTACCGAATCGTCGACACACAGAAAGGGTTCTAGAAGACTTGTGTTCGTCTTTTTTTCGAATTCAATAAAATGTCTGTTTACTAATTGAGAAAAGAGCATGCACTTGTTTTCTATCTTTCATTTTTTTAAATTACCGAGCCATACCCCCTTTCTTCACGTTTTTTTTGCATATCCTTATGGTTTAGATAAGAAAGAACACATGATAAAAGAGATCTTGAGTTATTATAAGTCTATTTTCGGTACATATTATATAAAATAAATGCAGTCTTGTATTTTGAGCTAATAGATATACGTAATTTCTTCTAGCTAAAATATATAAATATTAAACACTAAGTGAATTTTGCTAGATTTATTTTCATTCGATGTACAAAGCCTTGAAAAGTATAGTTTCTTATCGAATATTTTTGTTTTTTGAAGATTATTCACTATTGATAAACGTTTCTCTCTTGTTTTAAAGCATTTGTACTTTTGATAAATCTTCATATATCAAAAACACATGAACTAATTCAATTGATTATTTTAGTTGATACCTAACTTCATTGTTTATCAAGTAATTACAATGGTTGGCTTTGTTATTCGTGTGTTCTCTTCCGTTGCCCACGGTGAATAATATTCTTTATAGATGAATCAATATGTACTACTTGATGAAAATGAAAATATTGAATTTTAGCGTATAGAATTTTTCAGATTCATCGAATTGGATGAATTTCATAGAGTATCTTTTTTTGTATGAGCGTATATTTGATACCAGTTTTGTTACCTAGTGTGAAAAAACTAACTGCTTTTACAGATCTACAGCACAGAATACGAGAACTATTTATAAAAAATTATTATGCAATGTTTTTGACTTATTTAAGCTCATCTTCTACAAAATATTCTCAAATTCTTCCGACATCCTGTTGTGAGTCATAAGTAACTGCAATTCCTTTATTTATTTGTTTTCTTTCTTGAAGATTATTAATGGAAATTTCGACGAGAAGGTAGCAATCATAATAATCAAGGATACATTAAATATTGGTTTGCGTCGAATTAGAATTTCAAATAGATTCAATAAACAAAACGTGAAATTATGTTTTGTTGATAATCGAGAGTTTAATTTCGAAAATAGGGATTTTTATCGTCAATTAGCTCGTGATACTGGTATGAAATGATAATGTGTTAATTGATGAAATCTTAATTTTAATAATTCTAGGTGGTAAATATATGATGTTACAAGATGCTGCACATATTCTTACTGCGGCTGTTTTAGCAACTCGTATAGGCGAATATACACTTCGACAAGCATTTCTTCATATTCCTGAAGAAAATTATCCGATGCCTGCGAACAATCAGGATAATATCGATGGAGAAAATCAAGTAACCGAAAATGGTGGAGATCTGATTTTCGATCATGGTCTATCTTATTAGTAAAAACTATATGCAGATATCTATTTTTTAAAGCTTTCAAAAGTTTTAACCAATCAATTTTTTTCCATTTTTGTAGTGAGGCTATTATTTGAAAAAAATAAAGTAGTGATTAAATGAATATTTTTTTCTTTTGAAGGGAAATATTATTTTTTGATTAATAATTGTAATCATTATGCGTTGAAAAATATGATTTATTTATGTTCTTACATGCACGAAGAAAACGGGTTGAGTAGAACTATAAAATCTTACAACAATAAATACAACTGCAAATATTTACAGGCGTGAAAGTAAATCAAAGTTAGGCATAGAGCATTCGCTTTGTGATAAAAACTTTTGTCGTTATACACAGTTAATTTAAAAGTTTATGTGTTCCGTCATCACCAGAGCATCAATGAAAAAGAAACAGGTGATCATCTTTCATCTCTCATCTAGATGTTTTGTTCCAAAACTGTAACCACGTAGCGACCCTAACTGCGCATAAAAATTACATTTATTGGCTTCGATTGACACTACTACATTGGTGAAATATCATCTAACTTTGCTGTCATAATCAATGCTAATAAAATACTTTTATTTTCAGATCATCTGGATTAGTAGAGATTTGTAGCAAATTCGCACAGTCATAATTAAGCATATTGTCCTTTTTTAGACAGTGCAATATCGTAAAAAACATGCAGGAGGAGCAGGAAGTGCAAATACATAGTAGCCATTACAATTAGTAATCGAAATTTTATTTGACCATTGGCATAGATTTCCTGGCCAGCTGTAGCACACAGTACCCGGAGTTGTGGCACCAACTGATGTTGGATAGATACCGTTATACCAACCAGTCCCTTGCGTTCCACAATGAAATGGCTCCATGGGACCGGAAGTCAAACGAGTACCTGCAGCACCTGAAAAACGTACCCACATTGGCTCTGACTTGAAGACAGCGTTGTCACACCAGATATAATGTGGATGGCTAACATGGCGCGTCTTGTCAGTGATCATGGTGTAACTGATGCATTGAGGAGGAACAGAATCTGGCAAAATTGTGGTTGTAGAACTCAGCTCGATAAATGCTGTGGTCGAAGCACTGCTGATTGGTTCAGCTAGATAAACGTAAAAAATTCATAAAATTTAAGCAAGTCATTATTTTGGATTTATCGACTTGATTGCTAATAGTACAAAAAACGGGTTATTATTAGAAAATGACTGGGTGATTTTCTCACGTAGGTGCAAGCTAGTTCATAGATGTACAGCTAGCGAATTCTAATGAAATTAGAATCCAACAAAAATAAAATCTTACTTTGAGAAACACTATTATTATTGCCTGCACTTGTCGATGTAGACAATGGAACCACTGATGTTGAACATTCTCTCGAAGGTTTTGCAAAGCATTTACCATTTGTAGGTTTCTTATACAAGATTCTATCGACTTTAGTAGAAGTAAGAGTACGACCAGGATGTGGATACTCAAGAGAGAATCCTGCAGTGCTGCGACATTCTCCTGATCCGATGTGTCCTGGAAGACTCATGTCGCCAACGAACATATCAGGAAAATCATCAAGTGTGCTCGTTCCAGAGCCATCGATTCTGATAGATGCACAATCTGTGAAGTATATAAATAGTTATCATTAACATGACTGAAAAAACAATAGCTTCTATCGGTTACTTTGATAGAATTCATTTCGGTTACCAGTTACAGCCACCCACGACCTACACAATCATTCGATGGTGAATTATACAAGAAAATCAATAGAGAACTAACCATGAAAACAATGCATCTCCAGCTCGAGTCTGTTCTGGTATTTCAAATGGGAAAGTTTGATTTTTGCCTGCCATATTGGAACCAAGTTGAACACCCCGAGGGCATCCACCTTGAAAGCTATGAAGAACTTTCCAAGTTTCACCATTATCGAAAGAGATGGATGCTTGACAACTTCCTCCACTATGAGCTGCAAGAGATCCTTCTCCGCCTCCCGGTCCATGACCAAGAATTCTGAATACATAAATTCATAGAAATTAGTACTATGCTATGTTCGAAGAACATCCATGATCACTTACTCAAAATATGTTTGTTGACCTGCTTTCCATGTCACTGAAGGTGTTTTATCAACACCAGCTTGTTTATGAAGGCCTTTGCATGGAAAATCGCTTCCATCTGGACGTAATGGTCCATTATAATAATTACCAGCTGGAGTTTCCACAGGTGCCGCCAAAGGTCTTGGATATCTTATTCTTGCGTGTGCAGTAACTAGTGAGATAAGCGAAAGTAACGAGAGAACCGTTACCAAGTGCATTATGTGCATGAGAAATGAATGTAGTGGACTTGTTTTGTACCACGGATGCTAACAATGAGATTAGTTTTTTGTCAATAGATGAATTACTTTAAATGCGGATGAAGAAAAAACAAAAATAAATAAAGGATAAAGAAGGATAAGTGCAATATTTCTATTTTGTATCATGTTTGCTTACTTTATTCATCAAATGAATATTCACTCAATATTTTTCTATGACATCAATCCATATAATGATTACTTACCAAAATGAAAATCGATATGTTTGAATACTAGAACGGAGGCCTCGTATTGGCATTAGAATCAACTATTAAACCTAATGCTAAAGTCATTATTGTCATTAGGTTTAATTAATCCTCTGGTATTACTTGCAGCTTGTCTGAATTTTCGATTCTGACCACGATATGTGTACTAAACGTATCATTCATAGATGACTCTCTTGAAATACCAATTGTCACTTATCACGGATATCCAATACATCACATCTGTATGCCTAGTAAAGCATACTTTTTCAGTTCTCGTAAAATAAAATATCAGCTAAGAACAATAAAATAAGAAAAAAAATTGAAAAATCTCTTGTTTACTTCGTATGGCTGCATTCTCAAGCCAACATCTGATATAATGAATGGTATATTTTGTTGCATAGGTACTCGAAATATTGCTAGCTCTTGAAAATCTGTTGATTTCAAAAATCATTTGTATTTTATTTTGACTCTAGCTTTTAAACTATTTTCATATCGATGACTAGGCTGATTACGAACGCAAAAAGATCGACTCTGAAAGAGAACCACCTCTCGCTAATTCTCGCTTGTTTTTCTCTTTGAGAAATTGATGGATGCTGAGGAAAATAGGACACATATTGATTAACTTAAATCATTCATTCGCTCTATTTTCCTAATCGTTTCATTAATTACGCTTTTTACAGAAAAGCTTCAGTTGTAATGGATATATTTATTTGAAGATTTACAATAACACTTAAAGCATATTATTCTATTGAAACAACAATATGACGTGAAAATTATAACAAATAAAGTATAAATTTCCATTGGAAAATAAGATATTTTGAAGAGAAAATAGAATTATGAAGGATTTTTTAATAATCGAAATCTTTGTAAATGTTACATTGAATTTGTATCGTTGGGTTCTTATTAGTATCATGCTAGACCATTTGTAAAAACAAATCAAACCTTAAAATAATACGTAGTTAACCAGATATAGGAGTTGCTGCTGCAGAATGTCCTAGCCGCTTTTTCAAGCATTCTACCTCACCACCATACTTGCAAATAGCGACACGCATCATGGCAAGTGTATTATGTGCTGCATTGCTATGGTCGTGTACACCACCATGAAACGATACAGTGGCATCAGTGCCCACCTGACCTTTAAGTAAAGCACGTCCACCCGGATGAGAGCTAATAAATTTACTGACATCATGAACGTAACCAGCAATTAGAACGAGTTCACGATCAGTATCTTCTTTGGCTAACTCCTGATATTCTTCAAACGAAACCATCGGTAATTGAACATCTTCCTTAGGCCAAACTATAACTTGGCCAAATTTGTCCAAAGCTTTTCGTTGCATAGCATAGCGACCCTTTAGAATTTCATTTTCGGGAAATCTCTTAAGACTGTGAGCCATACCTAATTTTTCAAAAAGCCAGATTGCCCACTTGGTAGGATCAAACTGATACCACCTGACTGCATTACGATAATCACACGGAAATTCATGATGAAAATTATGATAACCTTCGCCAAGTGTGACAAAAGCTGTAATAAAATGGTCTCGAGGAGAATGTTTGTCGTCGAAAGGTGTATCGCCTAAGTAGTGTGCCAATGAATTAACACAAAATGTCGCATGGTGAACGATGACTAGACGAAGTGCACCGCCATAAAAGTAACCACCACGATAATCGCCCCATCCAAATCCACAAACGAATAAGGGCAACATGATACCCATGAGCCAATTCAAAGCGAAAATATGTCTGCGCTGCCATCGAACAGCTTTGTCACGTTCCAAGTCAGACATGTCTACAACACCAGTTTCTCGGCGTGGTTTCATCAACAACCATCCAATATGAGAATGAAAAAGACCTTTTCGAGCGTCGTATGGGTCAAGATCAGTGTCCGTATATCGATGATGTGCTCTATGACCACGTGACCACCAATGAGCTGATCCTTGAAAAGCACCAGCAGCCAACAGAAGTAATATGTAACGCAGCGGTTGATTGGCCTCATAAGAGCGATGACAGAAAAGACGATGGTAACCAGCAGTGATGCCTAGACCAGTTAGCCAGCCCCATATGAAGGTAAATAAAAGAGTTTGCCACATGACAGTTGTAGTACAAATACCATAAAGGGCGATGAAAGGTTCAGTACCCAACACTATTGTCTTTATCCAATCGACTTGTTTGAACCAGTTTGACCAACTTAAAGGTGGCAGCTCCGGTTCATTCAATATGGTTCGAGCTACATAATTGTTCTTAGCAAAGTATTCTTCTTCCTCCCTGGTAGTCATTTTCGACTGTGGTAATACTGTAGACTGCTTGACAGTCGATCTTGATAAATTTAATGGCTTCGGTACATAGGAAATATTATCAAAAGAACGCTTTGTTTGTTCTTCTGCATATATCATATTGAGCAATAATACAGTTGTAATAGTAGTTTTTATGAAATCTGGAATATTTTATAAGCGAAAATATACAAAACACGATTATGCCCAGCAATACATCATCGGGTATACACAGTTTATACCTAAGAAGCTATAATATTACCATATTTTAGACAGTAATGAGTTATACTCAATCGAGCCATGTGTATAAGAATGAAGAAAAAACGTGCATATAGAACATATCGTTCTTACCATAATTATTCATATGATTTGTATAGAGTGGAGTATAATGTTGCGATTCATTCAAGTGAAACATAAATGCATTTTCACATTTCCTGGCTTTTTTTCTACAAGTCTTATATGTATATCGAGAGCATTATATCACCACTGAAAACAAATCGAATGTGTAACTCTGAAAAATCGACTGAAGGCCTTTTATGCATCATCGAAGAAAAAAATCAATTATAGTCCATTTTTGGTATAATTTTTAATGGGCTGTGATCGGAATCAATCTTAATAATCGATGAGACTTTGTTGGAGTTATTGTTGGTAAAAATCGATTAACAGCTTATGACTACAACGAAGTTTTATCTAATTTTCACTATCATCTTTTTTTATATAGGTACTCACCTTTTAGTATGCTACGTTATGAATTTATTCTGTTCTATTTCATCATGTTTTATATCGATATGAAAAATGCGCACTATTCTTTCTTGCTACGGTTGATTAATTTTTTGTTTTTCGTTCTCTTTTACTCATCGCTTTTAATTTTCAATACTTGCATGTATATATATATATATATATATGTCGCCATAGAAAATATATGATTATTCGAAAAAAAAAGATTGTAAAATTGATTGATATTTCAGAATATTTATTTTATTCTAAATTTACTAGTGAATCTCTTCCTCAGCAATTGAACTCAAAATGAAGGTGAATTTTTGATTTAAGGAAGTTCATTATGATGTAGTAAATTTATTGTTAGTTATTGTCTTGCGTTTATTTTATTTTATTCCTTTCGCTTTGTCTTAGCAACGTTTTGGCAACGGCCTTGCCGTCGTCGGTCTAATTTATATTTTTTTAATTTCTCGACATTTATATAGGAAGAACACTAACAAGAAAAAGAAAGCCACGTCTATATGTGCATGTTTATATATAAATGTTTGCCAAGTTAAAATAAAATAAAATAATCTGACGATGGCAAGGTCGTTGCCGACACGTTACTAAGACAAGCGGAAAAAAATAACATCAAATAAAAGAAAGAGAAAAAATCAAAACAAATATAACCTTGGACAAATATAGAGTGCTGAACAAATTCAATTTTCTGATTTCGACTTTGCTCTCATATATAAAATCGTCCAATATCTAAGCATACCGAACAGAATGCATTGTTTCTCTCTCTCTCTCTCTCTCTCTCTCACATACGAATTGCATACAGTTATGTATTACTCTACACATGTAGCAAAGGACAAAGTTCTCCGAGCAATATGACTTAATTGATAAAGATATACTCACAGGTGCAAAACGCAGATGCTGTTTTCTAAACAGTGTTTTTGAAAATATAGTAGAATTATCTGCCCCTACCAGTGCTGGTTACATGGATCTATTTAATAACACACAAAAATTCTTTCCAGAGTAGAAAATGAAGCAGTTCGATTTTTTTACATTAAAGTTGAAATGTTTATTCAATCCATTATTGGCGACATTTTATTCAATATAATCATCGGCGGGTAGAGCGCGCAAATTTCTTGATGGCAAACGGTTGTTCAAGTTTTGATATTTTGCGTGCACTGAATTTTCCAATTAGACAAACTCACTAGAAATTGATCTATTAGATTAAAAAATGTTTTTCTCATTTTTTTTCTATGTCAATAGTTATAAAAAAATCCACATAAAAAAGAACAACAATATTTAAATATTTTATTGTTACAAAACAACTAATGTACATGAATGACTTGTTGAAGATAATATTTTCAATTTTCTTCCTCGCAAGATTTTTCTGCATGATCTCGTGTTTCCACGATGCAAGCGGAATCGGTTCTCATTCTCGTAAATAATCAACAAACAGATTGATTTCATAAGGATTATTGAATGGATACCAATTCAAAGGTGGCAAAAGCAAATGCAATACAAGATATACATATGTTTCCTTGCATTATTCAGTCCTTCAAGTCATTTTTTGTTTTTTCACCTTGCAGTTAAATTGTTTGGTCTTTTGACAAACGATATTCTCACTCTGATCGTCAGTTGCACAAAACAAACCCACTACATTCATTTCTCATGCACATAATGCACTTGGTAACGGTTCTCTCGTTACTTTCGCTTATCTCACTCTGCTGAGTGTGCTATATAGCTAATTACTTTATATAACTGATCTATTACCGCCTCACATTTACATGAAGCATCGTAAGTATCCATTCTCACATACTTCTACATACTCATTAATTCTTACTTTTTGTCCTAGCTCAGCTCTTGATCATCTTTTCTACCACAAAAACGTAGTTTTTAATGTTATCTATTATTGATTGTAAGTATTAATTTCTCTATAATTTCTCATTAGAATTCCCTTCTATTTTATCTTCTAGATCTTAGTTGAACAACAAAAACATAGTTTTTGATGTTATTTATTATTTTTTAATTTTATGAATCTTTTATTATCGATTATTTATCTCATTGAGATCATCTCACTAATAAACTATTAGCAAAATTTTGACCACAATCCGGTCGGGTGCCGGTCGGGTACCGGGTATAGTTGTCCGGGTCCGGTTCGGGTCCGGTTCGGGTCCGGGCGTAAGGCCACCGGGTCCGGTCGGTTGCGGGTGTGTGAGAAGTCAGTCTGACCGGCTCCGGGTATGAAAAGTTGCACCCGTGCAGGATTCTACCGTGAAGTGCGATCATCTGTGTGGCAATAAAGACGAGCATTCCCACACCCACACCCTCAAATTTGTTTCTCGCGGACTTCTTAGCATGGTTGGATAGAGCATGTCGAGTTCCCAATGTGCATGTAATAAAAAACTTTTGTGGAAATTTCGACTTGCTGGCACCTTACTAATTTTGAAAATTTAAGAAATTTGAATTTCAAACAATTTAATTTAAATTCAGTTGAACTTGAATGATACAAAATTTAATTTATTTTAAATTAAAATTTTTGAAAACTTATTCCTTGATATAATAATTTTCTTTAAACTGGAATATCATACCCCTATTAGGAATGAAGTCGATTTTCACAAACAGTTTTTGCTTAACGTACGTTACATGAATTTAGTGAGCCTAAATAATATATGTGAGCTCCAAAATTTAGCTCCAAAGCGGCTGTACTTATAAGTCTTTTCACAGTCGATTCGGGTACTCGTTTCCAATCTTCGTATTTTTCTGTGGAAAACTACGATCAAGTTATATACATAGAAAAAACAATTGCATACTTGATGTTTTTCGATTGTTGTGGCTATGTTATTCGCACAGGGTGCCAGTCCACGCAGGCAATATTCAAAACAGAAGTCCCATATTGATTTTGCATGTGCGATTTGTCTGAAAAATCTTGAGTATTATATGAAAAGAATCACATACCTCTCTCCTGTGAAGAGTGATGATGCCAATGGCGGTAGTATAGCCGGGGATGGCGTAGTGGTTCTATGCATATGATTATTATTAATCAGACATGTGAAGCTTCGATCCCTTCCCCCGACACGGTGTCTTCGGTGTCAAGATATACGGTATCGGAAGAATAAACAAAGGAAGAATAGTACTGCACGCCAATTTTGTCATCACGTCATCACTGCCTCGATTTCGACTTTCGTTCTGTTGTTTACGTTTTCATATTTCTCTTCCTTGTCATCCTTTCTCTGTTTGTTATCGTGTAGTCTTGTCTGTTGACTATTGTTTCCGTAAGCGTCCACAAAAATCACAAAAAGATTATAAATGGATGTCACGAATAAATATAGTGCATAAACCAAAAAAAAAAAATGGTGGTAGTACAATTTGATTATATGTGAATGCATATCGAATCGTACACATCTGTTACCGTTTGATGACGTTGCATAAACATTTGGGTATTGACTAAAATAATCGAAGAACGGAAGTAGAGAAAGATGAGGAGGCTTGACAAAATATTAATACAAGTCGTTTTTACTGGTCTATAGGCGATTTATACAGTCTCAATTCATATTTTCGAGATGGAAATTCCGATTCTAGTACTTCTTAGTATGCTCATAGCCTGCAACAGTTGGCTCACAGTTGGTGCACGGCATCAATATCAATGGACAGTTCAATATGCTAAGACTAATCCCGATGGATATTTCCGAACTGTAATTGGGATCGATGATGGTACCAAGTGGCAATTTCCTGGGCCGGTTGTTCGTGTAGCTAAAGGAGAATGGGTTACCGTCTTACTTCACAATGGACTGCCTACAGAAGCTACTTCAATCCATTGGCATGGTCAACACCAACGCGAAACACCATGGATGGATGGCGTGCAGCAAATAACTCAATATCCTATTTTGCCTACGAAGATATTTAACTATACGTTCCATGCTGACATATCTGGTACCCATTGGTATCACTCTCATACAGGGGGACAATACACAGATGGGCTGTTCGGCGCCTTGATTGTTGACGATCCTAATGATCCTTACAGGGATTTACCGGAAAATATCGTATTTATTAATGAATGGTATCATCAAACAGTCATTGATACGTTTGACATTTTTACTGAGTATCAACCGACGGGACACTTTTATAATCCTCTGGTAGACTTTGTCTCAGGTCTATTCAATGGGAAAGGTCGATATAATTGCTCGCTCTTAACTTCTTTTGACAATAACACGTGCATCCCAGATTCACCCTACGAGCGATTCGTCGTTGAATACAATCAAACTTATCGATTCAGATTCATTTCAGCCGGGTCTCAATTCACTTATATACTCTCCGTTGATCAACACAATCTCACGGTCGTTGCAATCGATGGGAATTATGTACAACCACACACTACTCAACAGCTAGTCATTGAAATAGGTCAACGCTACGATGTGCTTGTACATATGAACCAACCACCGGATAATTACTGGATTCGAGCAGTTACTGAACGAACCTTGAATGAATTCAATGCTATATTGCAATATTCGACGGCTTCAAATAATAGTGAACCAAAATATAGTTGGAATTTAACAACCGGTACCATATTACTCGATTCAAAGCCACTTATTCCAACTAATGTCAATACATTCTCTCTTCGTCCACCAAATTTCACAAAAACAGTCTTTTTAAATATAACCTGCCATGAACCTGTTATTGATAAGTGTTTTGTGAATGAAAAACAGCTACGTCTGCCCAGCATTCCTACTCTTTTAACAATGTTTCAAAACCAAGTGGCACCTTACAACACCACAAATATTTTCGATTTGGCTTACGGTGATAACGTGCTTGTCATTATCAATAATTTTATTAACGGTAGTCATCCGATGCATTTACATGGACACGATTTTTATGTCCTTGCTGCGGGACCTACAAGCCAAACGAGTATAATAAATTTCAATGAGGAACGCGATGCCGGAAGTTTTAACAAAGAAAATCCACCTCGTCGGGACACTATTTCACTGCCACGACAATCATGGCTCGCTATAGGATTTGTAGCCGACAATCCGGGAAGTTGGTTTTTTCACTGCCATATTGCATTTGACATGGAAGCTGGTATGGGCATCATTTTTAACGTTAACAATGGCACAATTGTGCCTCCACCTTTTGACTTTCCTCTTGTATCCAACATTGGTCAACAAACAACTCTTAATCCAATGAAATCAATGGCAACGAAACGGTGTGAATATTGGATGATGGTGTTATCTATGTGTACGTTGTCATGCATCGTGCTCAACATTCGATGGCCATAGAAACTAAGAGCATCGCACTATAAATTCTATATTTCATCATCTTTTCTCATCCTCTGTTCATCTCACAAACTATTAATCCTTATTCGAAATCAACCCATTCCCATTTGCTTGAATTCGTTTAAACATAAATGCCATATAATTGACGCTAAACTAACTTAAAATCCTATTTAATACATCTTCATGCTATTCCAAACGTATAAAGTTGTCTAAGATCACCAATAAAATAAATATTTCACGAAATATTTTTAACATTCAGAAATAACCAACTGTTTGCAAAATAGAATGCTATAAAAAGTACCCACGAAAAAGAAATTCACTGAAATCTGCGTTTGAACGTGTTCTTTTTTTTGTTCGCATGTTTTCGCTAGACTTAAAACGCACTTTTTCGAACGCATTACAACGCTTTCTTTTCGATGGATAACGCAAAAATGTAATTACGATAGCTTTACGGAGAGCGCATTTTTCCAGAACCGAAGCGATCGTTCTTTGAACGCTTTTCTATTATTAATTTTTTTTTCATTCGGGTGCAGAAACGATTCGAACTAGGAAGTTTCGATTTCATTTACCTGATACTATTGAATTAAACTTAGTGATGTCAGAATAGAAATGCAATTTCTATATCTATTGAATTGAAGGATACATTTTTTATTTTTTCATTTTAAATTCGAAGTAAATTTAAATTTCGAGAAATGACTTTTAAATTTAATCTAAATTATTTAAAAAAAACATTTTTGCAGTCATTTTTTCGGGCCTAATAGTTTCTTTCAAATATGAATGGCTCAATCCTAGTAATTTCACAATATTAAGAGCGATTCCATGAGATCACCACTCAACTCGGTTGCCAAAAATTTTTAGATTTTGAAATTAGCTATCAGGTTCGATAGAGCATACAAAATGAGGCATAAATCCAAATTTGTACTATTTTTGAGCAAAGTCTTCTTTCGATTTAGGGGCCCAAGTTTTTTGAGGTTCCAAAAATACGTCTAAAAATGTTTTCGATCGAATGTTTTTGTTCAAAAAAGTAATCAATAGAATAATTATCCTATACCATTCGATAGCGCGGAATCCACTCTACAAAATGCTATATTTTGTTTATCTCTTCGTGCTATCTGTTATTCCTGAGAACTCTTGCATCATCGTAGAGTATCCATTTTATGCAGGATTTTTACATGGGTTTTTAGAAATTTTTACGCTCTACTGGCCCTATTTTTATAGTGCCCAAGCTAGAGTTTAGCCTATCTTGTAGAGCATGAAAAGGCGCATCTTTTCATTAAAAAATAGTTGATTCAAAGTACTGGCAAAGTTCCGAAAGGTACCTAGCAGGGTACTTCATTATGAGTCATTTTTTGGCTAGTTCAAAATCCGAATTGTCTTAGTAAATCACTCGTATCTCAGTATCTCAGTATTCCGTTTTGATCAAGGTTAGTGTCATTCGATAGAGCTTTTAAAGCTGCATCAGACGCGGTGGTACAGCACGGGATTGCATTTCTCTACCTGGGAACAGACTAAAAATATGGAAAAAGTGAACATGTGAAAGTCGACCTGTATCACTATTTTCTTTTATTCCTAGTTTTGCCTGCTTTATCGATCTAAGAGTTCTGATTGCAGTTGGAGGTCACTGAATTAATTCTGCATTTGCTGAGATAATTTTAAAACGATTTCGTTCTTGAGAGCGCACCAGTTTAACAATTGCAGATAATATTACATTGAGACTCTTGGGCCAAGATTCTTGGTATTCACTAGTAAAATATGTGCCATTCGCGGCGAATTGAAGCCAACTTATGAGATTTTTTCATTGCACTCTTTGAAAATGTCTGTGATGCCTGTGTGTGCTTGAAAAGGTAAGTGTGTTGAAGGTATAGATTTCAATGGGTGCTCATATATTCTTGTTCTGCAATAGGGCTTAGGTACAGTCACTGAATCCTATTGTTGCTCGCATGCGGTTTGGGTGGTTGGCACTGCTGCTGACTGTGGTTGATTTAGCTGGAAGAAACATTCTCTTTTACACGTTGGAAACCAAAGTACGATAATGGTTCAATCGGTAGACAGAGCGACCTATGGGATATGAACAAGAAATATGCATGCTGCTAGACAGCACCGCATGGAATGTAGCACAGTTCTAGTTTTCGATGCGACCCCTGTGTGTACTTCATATGATACGCCCTATAGGCATCGTATGTACACGTGATTCATCTGGTTTTGAGGTACTTTTGTTTAGTGTGAATGACCAATTCAGTCTATTTCTACATAATGAACATTTTATTTTATTTTTCCTCAATGATTATTTGTCACTTGCTATAGATCTTCGTTTTTGTCAATTCTGACTTTCAAATCACCAGAATGGATGTCGATGAACAAAATGCATGTTTCTTTAAGGACTCAGTTCCACAGGTTATTTTTAGATCGTTCGATTTATTTTCAATCAAAATGATTTTCAACTCTGATTTAGATATCTTGTAACGATAATCAAATAGGATTTTCATCTTTACTGCAACATTCTGATGAACCACATACCGAGTGTCGGTCTCAGCTCGAGCAGCTTCTTCTATTGGCAGACTATTATGACATACAGCGAAGCAATATTTATCATCATGCGGTGTGCTCGAACCATCGCGTTTTTTTACTCGATATGTCACGCCGAAAAAGTAACTGTCAACTGTGCGTAGACATCTTCAACAGAAAAAGGTGTTCGATCAGTAGCCTTCATCGAATCTCCAAAACTCTAGCATTGCGTGTATGGCGTATTCAACGTTTGAATGTGTATGATTTATTCCATTTCTTCACAAAATCAAAAACTATCTGCTTTTTATCTAGCTACAACGGATGGGCCTGTACACAATGCAGAAAGGCATGTGTTATGGAATATGGTTCCATGGATGATGTCAAAGATCCGTTCGATTGGCTCTACGATGAAACTATTATTCATACTCCATCGACTGCCGGGCCATGCTTATCACAATGGGACAACAATTACGAGCCTGCTTACAGTGAAGCTTCCCCTTCTCAACAAGCGAATGGAAAGCGGGAATTCAAACAGTGGCTCGCTTCCACAGGATACGAAGGAAGATGGCGTTCAACCGATAACTATCGTTCACTTAGCCAACATGATAAGACCACGTTTCGAAGCCAGGTGAAAGCAATTTTTCGTCATGTTCTTCATCAACTTGCAACGAAAGACGTTGACGTAGTCTGAGAAGATGTAGTCGATGAAGAGATAAAAAAAACCAGCAAGGACAAAGGATGGGTAGTAGGGGAAAGCTTGATTTTCTTTTAAAAAACTTTACCTATATATTTATGTTTCTTTTTCACTTCCAGAGAGTATGGGGTAGTCATACGCTCGCTGGTCGATGCTTACTCCAGAGCCGAACATTGGTTGACTAAACGACAAATTATGTCAATTGCAGCAGCGGATCTATCTTCTCGTTTGATAAAAATCGAATTTACGGGACTATCAGATTGGAAAATAAAGGCTGCACGCGTCCATGCGTTTTTCCAAGGTAACCAGAATATTACAACACCAGTATTACTATCTTACTTATGGGCAAATTGTTGTTTCATAGCTGCGCAAGTACGGGTACAACTTGTACTGGACAATTCACATAGAGACTGGAAGCTCCGCTACTAACGCAGAGCATACATTTGTACCCCCTGTACTCGCATGTACTCGGTTGTATTCGTTTGTACTACACCCCTCTTCCCCCAAAAACCTAGAATTCTAGAATTCATGTACTCGTGTGTACTCGCATGTACTCGCATGTATTCTTTTGTAGGTATTTGGGGGGTAGAGGCATATATGTCAAACTTGAAACTTGAATTCAGCTGTGTAATTTCAACTCTCAACCTTCAACGGTGTCAGCGCTAGGGAAGCGAGATACGTTCGTCTACACACACACATATGCACCCATAATGTGGGTGCCGCGGAAGGGACATATGTTTGTATACACACACATATGTGCCCATAGTGTGGGTGCCGCGGAAGGGAGATAAGTTCGTCTCCACTTAAGCATATGTACCAAAGATTGGGAAGTAGTGTCAGGTCAATCACGTGAAACCAGAAAGTTGAAGGTTCAGTTGAAGTCAACTTTCAAGTTCGACAGTACTGAGGTTTTTGTGGGAAAGAGGGGGGTAGTACAAGCGAATACATGCCAGTACATACGAGTACATGAATTCTAGAATTCTAGGTTTTTGGGGAGTAATAGGTTGTAATAGATGCCAGTACAAGTTGTACCCGTACTTGCGCACCCCTCGAACCGTCAAAGTTACAAAAAAAAGTGATTTGCACGGGTTTTGTGAAACCCATAGAATATCAAGGAAGTGACTGATGGAGCTGAAACTTCTTTCATGTGTAGTACTAAATAATGTATAAAGTGACAAAAAATTCAGCTTAATCTGTGAACCCTTTTTGAGATATAGGGTGCCTAAAATTGCCTTTTGCAAAAATAGGACTTTCTAGAACTATTCGTAGAACTTGAATAAAAATCAAACGATCGCATAGTTTTTTAACCGGCTTTCACCAAAATGCATTAAACACTTGCCTTTATCACAGATATGAAAATGAGCGATATTCAACGATATCGATTCAGCATGATTTCACGTTTTTACGCACTTTCAGATTTTTAAGAGTTGCGAAGAATACTTGCATGATAGTAAAAGCAGTACCACGTGATGTTAAAGTACTTTGTGGTACTTTACGCTAATTTAAGGTACTTTAAGGTACTTTTCGCTACTTTACGCTACTTCACGCTACTTTAAGTCACTTTGAACTACTTTTGTACGTGGGTGTACTTTTCGACTTCAAGTACGCCGTTTCCCCGTTGACCCACATCCACACCCTACAACATAGGAGACTCTTTCGTACCCACTGAATTTCCAGATCAGTGAAAACTGACATCGATCGACGATATCAGTCTATTAGCCGTACATTCGCACGCGCCTAACAACATTCCGACTATCGCCTACCAAGCTAATCAATGTCATTTATTAAAGAGAGGGTCCATGAGACAATCCAGCATGCCTCAAGCACTCGATAAAATTTTTATTTCAAAATTGACGTTTGTATTCGATAGAGCAAAGTCTGAAACCCATAAATCCANCCACTATATGATCAATAATGATGCAATTCTAGTATATGGTTGTGATCAGCATTATAAATGTTATCTTTATAACTGATTATATTCCCATTTGAGGAAAACAAAAATGTCTCGAAATTCCTGGACCCCCCCTCATTGATATCAGTGGTCGAATTTTTTTCGGTTTTTCGAAAGAATTAGTCATAGTATTCCGACCAGGTTAGTGTTCTGACTTATGTCGACTGAAAACTTTCATAATTTCAGACTTTACAAACCTGGCGAACGCCAATTTTCTTGGGAATGTATACCAGAAAATTAACAGTATATAGCACTTTTCGCATTGATGGGATTTTTTCTCTGCTTGGGTGTCTTTTACAGTTTTGTAGAGAATAAAAAGTTACACAACGTATGAAAAAATTGATCACTTTTTTGGTCATATTATGGTGAAGGTGGTCGTAGTCGAACAGGGCTTACTCCGCTATAGAAAGTCCAAACGAGCTAAAAATTTGGATTTATAAGTTTCAGACTTTGCTCTATCGAATACAAACGTCAATTTTGAAATAAAAATTTTATCGAGTGCTTGAGGCATGCTGGATTGTCTCATGGACCCTCTCTTAAGAATTCAGATTCATCCATCATTACTGAAAACACCACCACTTTCGGTTTCGTTACAGGAAAATGAGCATAACATGCGCTCTATCAATTCCAACACGAGTCAACGCAACGAAACGAACATTGTAGTCAGCGAGATTCTTAACAGAAAATGAACCAATTAGGTGACTTTGGTCACGCCTGATCAATAACGGAATTCCAGATGATCAAAAGCAGAAATAACCAGATTCATTAATTCAGATAACAAGTTAATAATGTAGAATTCATGATGATCTAAACCAGAAAAAAAATAGAATAATTTTCATTATAACTTACAAATACTGGAATTCATAACAGCTTAAAACAGAAATGCAGCGAATAGAATGATTCTAACAGTAACTTACCAACAATCGAATTGATGACAACCTAAAACAGAAAAGAAATGAATATAATAGTTCTCCTTATAACTTACCGATACTGGAATTCATCAGACCTTAAAATATAAAAAAAAGAATAGAGTAATTCTAATAGTAACTAACCAATATTAGAATTCATCACGACCTAAAGGAGAAAAGCAACGAATAGAGTAATTCTAATTATAACTTACCAATACTAGGATTCATCAGAATCTAAAACAGATAAGAAACAAATAGATAGTTCTCATTAAAACATCAGTTATTGAATTCATTAGAACCTCATTTAATATATTATCGAGTTTACGTTTTCGGAAGGAAAAGTTTCTGTTTTAGAATTTTTTAGCAAATTGAAGAAGATGCTAAGTAATTATTTAATTTTAATGGAAAGTTGCCAATAGTAGAACTCGTAAGTAATTGAAATAGAAAATAGAGCTATTTATTCCACTTAATTGCAACTTATCAGTAATAGAATTGTGAACAAATCTAAAGTGAAGAAAGCGATTTGATGATTTGTAATAATAACTTACCAATATGAAATTGGTGTTGAACCTGAGCAGAATAAAAAATATTTGCTGTGATCATAACTTAGCAAGAAAAGCATCCAAACGAACCTGAAGAAAAAATAATAATTGTGTTAATGGTAAATCATGCTCTTTGTATTTAGAGCGAACTAAAATAGAAGATAAACAAATTTGTTAGTTCGAAGTGTAGCTTACTTATATCAGAATTTTACCAAGAATCTCAATTTTAAAATAAATCGGTATATTCTATTTTGGATAGTGTTTAAACGTGATTTTTTTCTACGTATTGATCTTAGAAACAGAGTAAAGAATTGAATATATTGGAAAATTACTTAAATAGAAACAATATTCAAAAATGAAGCGATTTAAATAGGAAGAAAAAAATGTAGTTATGCACATACGTGAAACAGTTGTTGTTGTATATCGAGCGGTTAATTTATTCAAACAATAAAAAGCCAGGAACAATAGTTGAGGTTGAATGTGACAAATCGTTTTCGAAAATTACTAGAATAGAATCAATATTTAAAAAGGAAATCATTCAAATAGAAAAATAAAACAATTAGTGACATACATCTGATAGTGGTTGTGGTTTACTTAGATCAGGAATTTAGTTTTTGAACAGTGAAGGTAGTGTAATAACAGAGTTGATGATTTTCTCTCTAAAAATTAGTTTTATATTAAATCAAATGAGAAGCCTAATAAAGAATATGATATAGAAGTTAATTTTATGTTGAAGAAATGGTTGTTTCTTCGGAAGATAGACGGAAGCATTTTGACGTGTAAATCAAGTGTAATTTTTTTATCAGAATCACACGTAGTAGGTAGAGAAAGACCAGTGATGAATGTAAAAGGGAGTAGTTTTGATAGTGTGGAGATGGTTATCGATAGGATTCAGTGAAAATCGAATGTGAGAAACTACTAAAGCACGGGTTAGCGGGATAATTAGCCGTGTTGTTGTTATCGTGTACGAGGACATCAACAGAGGTCACTTTCGTCTGACGCTCGATGAATGCATTTCCCGCTCAAAGTATATTACGGAACCTTTCTGTTTGCAGAACTCGAAAGAGTTTATCACGAAACCTTTCGCGAAATATAAATTCAGTTGAGTTCTTAAAGGAACCTTTTTTTTAGTGTTGTAGACGCGCATGATTGCGTTTTACAATGTTTTTATTGCTAGGTGAAGGGAATCAAATAATAATGGTGACAATATTTCATTCATTAAACACGTGAAAAAAGATATGATACTTCACAACGCTAACGCGTCCTCATGATAGAATTGTTTTCTGGTTCTACTCTCTTGATAACTTTCCGTATCAAAGGCATTTGGATTTTTTTTGCCTATTTCTTTTCAAGCTGATCAATTCAGAATGTAGATTAAAATAATGGCTCCTCTAATAGGGACTCAAAAGACAAACTAAACTGAATTTGTGCAATTTCACATTTGATGTTGCCTCGCCAATTTTTTACGTCTGTACCTGTGTGTGTCGTTATCAATATATTTCTTTTTAATATTTTTCATTTTCCTCTTTCCTCTTCCCCTGAAATATATGAGGTTGGCCAGAAAGTTTTGTAATTAGTGTTAAATTTCAATCGCAA